TGGAACACCAAAACTGTTCCGCCTCGATACTTTTAATTATTGAAGAGTAAGTGAGACATTCCAGTCAGACAGTATTAACAATGAAATCATCACAGTACTCACATTTTTTGTCTGGGAGCTGCTCAACCAGCTGTCTCAACACATCTATCATGAACCACTCAAACAGCTCTGGCCTTCATTTTTGGTTTGACACATCAGCATCAAGGTTTTACTTTCACCATTTGTTCTGCAAACTGTTAAACCCCTTTAAAAATACTCACAAAAGAGCTGCGATGTGAGTTGTTCACAACAATAAATGAGTAATGCAGACACGGCCACCAACATTCAATAGTCACCTCATTAAATACAATTTCAACGGTCTTTGAACTTCACATGTGGCTCTTCAAAAGGACATACGGGGCGACATTCCTGCATGATGGGAATTAAGGGAATACTGAGTGTAGGTTCAATTATACTACCCATCACAGTGAAACTTTTTGTTGAACAGATCACTTGAAAGTCAACTCTTTTTCAAGTAGAGCAACACTCAAGAAATGATCTCTATAGTGTGCAACAATGAGGAGAAATGCCATTTCAGACCTAGTAGCCAATACATCCATTTTACTTTTAATCTGGAAATGGTCAGTTAAAAAAAGGGAATCATTTAAATAGACTTTAGATTATGGATTGGCTTTAGCCTGAATAAAACAATGTGATAAAAGGCTCTAAAGAAACTGTGAAGATGACCACTTGGCCTTTTGCTGCAGGCAAAAATACCGAAAATGTGTTGTTCATGTATCATGGCCCTGGGAAGAGAGTATAAAAATCCCAAAGTGAGTTACATTAAAAAGACTTCTGTCTGCACTGTTGATAACTCTCAGCCCAAGTATTTTAGAATTATTTACAGACAATCAAAACCCTAAGCTTTAATCGGAGTAAATCATTAACTGTTGGACAGGTACAATGCTCATCTCTCTATCTATCCAGGGTGCTAGGGTGACATGGATTGCGTCATCAGCCTCTCTGATCTCTGTATATGACTGGCATGCCTGGTGGCTGCTTAACAGTCCACAAAACACATGGCGGAATGACAACACAGTGACAGCTGACTGCCGTAAAAAAGCTCCATGTCCATGCCTGGACCACCAAAGAGATACAATATGGAGTAAAAAAAAACAGAAGAAAAAGGACAAATAACTGAAGGAAATATTCCTTAGAAAAGTTTAAAATTCACCATCAAAACTTCCTCAGTTGTTCAAACTAGGCACATGCATTATTGAGTCAAGATTTATCCAGTTCTATGTATGATTGATTGTGGAATGACTTTTCATTTAGGCTGCTTGATATTTCTTCCTATTTTTCTCCCAATTATTTAACAAAGGAACCACTATGATCTGATTTGACAGAAAGCTAATGCCCCTTTTGTTAAAGTCAGGTTCTGTAAGTGTCAGAGTGGATGTGAGGGCATGGGTCAAACAGGTGCTTTCCTAGTTGGAGGATCCCACAAATATGCACTCAACAAAACACAAGCAAGAAAGGAAGGATACTTAAAACTAAAGGCTCCAAACAACAACATACTGTCAGTGTGGGTTTTTATGCCTCATGGACAAAAAAACACTGCTGTTCTTAAAGTTTTACATAACACTAGTTAATGTGTGTGCAGCATACATCTTCATTTCACCCATTAACTTATATTTAGCCACATTTGGAACTTGATTCTTCTTTGTCAAGGTCCAATCCCCCCAACATGAACAAAAATGAATTACTGTAGTTGACAGTAAACTATTATTACTCAACAATCTACTTGTCCAGGCCACAGGTTGTGTGTGACAGCTGCGGCTGTGCCAGGGGCCCTGTGAACTATCACAGAGGCACAGTGAGGGGGGCTGTGGAAATGCCAAAGCTTCTGTATTGTAAGAGGAACTTCCACAGGGGCTTATCCAATCATACATATTTGTTATGCATGAATAGCTCTGATACAATTAATTCTAGTAGCATTCTCTGTTGAAATGTTGAAATGTACATCATTCATTTAAGGTCTGACATCCTTTATTTTGGCAAATACGGAATTAAAAAGTATAACAAATTGTAATACATATGATTCAATTATTTCTAATTTGCATCTTCTCATTTGCAGTTTATGGGTTATTTTCCTGGGTGATAACTAATATCAGCAAGTTTCTCCCCTCAGAAGAACCACTACTCATCTGATTCTTCACACTCTGCTCATACCTGTCACTTGGGGGGGTGTTAGACATAGGAGTGGACTGAAAAGTCTTGGTGTGACGGGGTGCCCTCCTCCTGCTCCTGACGTCTATACCCCATGTGTAGACATAGCAGTGGTCAAATGTCTTGGAAGAGCGAATCACCGAGGAGATCCAGAAAAAAAAGACAGGTCCCGCTTTGACAAACAGCTGCAGTTGTATTGGTTATCCATTAACTGCCTGGCCAAACGACATATTTGACTCACTACAAACTCAGGAGAGCTCGCACTCCAGCTGGGCGTTCAGTGCGGTTCCGACGCTCCGATCCTTCCATTCAGTTTCTTCTTAGTTGTGCGCGGACACCACCGACAATAAGGAGCCATGGATGCCATCAAGAAGAAGATGCAGATGCTCAAGCTCGACAAGGAGACCGCCTTGGACCGAGCTGAGCAGGCCGAGTCAGACAAGAAAGCAGCTGAGGAGAGGAGCAAACAGGTTGGCACCCAAAGTGAAACCCGCAGTGGTGCTTTTACGCACAGGCACCAATGGCACGGTGCTGCATGGTTCCTGCATGGCCAGTGTCCTGCGATTTAGGATTGATATATGTCTTTATAGGATTATACAGTTTTGGAAATCATAATACATGTTTTTTTCATTGTTGCACTTCGTTATTTGGGCTACATGAAATTGACAAAGGGAATGTTTTATATTTACTATTAGATTCCTTATGATTCAGCTATAATGTTTAATAATATGTATGTTCTCATAGCCTAGAATGGTTGCAACTCTAAATGGTTGTTTGTTATTTAGAGCAAATATTCACAGACACTATGAGATGTCACGTGATTTAGTATGATAGTAATGGCATCTGTCTACAAGTTAGTAAATGTCCTCCTGTTTTTCTGTAATCAAGCTCGATGAAGACCTGATAGCACTGCTGAAGAAGCTGAAGTCAACTGAGGATGAGTTGGACAAGTACTCTGAAGCCCTGAAGGATGCCCAGGAGAAACTGGAGGTCGCTGAGAAGAAAGCCATGGATGTGAGTATGGGCTGACAGTACCACTGACTGGTGGAGAAGCCCCAGTGGGTCACCCACTGCCTAACGGTTTGCCCTTGAACCACCCTTTGGGCCCCCTTTAGGAAACTAAGATTACCAGCCCCCATACAGATTTAGTCTAATGATTAAGTTATGCAATGATTCATTATATTAGATCTATGGGTTGTATAAAAATATGGATAGTTAAATTTAGCTCTTGTGCTGTATCTGGTAAGGTCACAGCTAACTGGCCGGTGCATTTCACAGCCATTTGGACAACTCTGAGGTCCAGTGTAAGGTTTCAGTGGGGCCTTTTACAAGCATATGTCTAATCCTCGACAGATTTGTGGTTGTTCTAGTTTCAGCTGGCACTTTACAGTTATGTCCAACCCTGATGAAATTACCTGTTTATTGACTGAGTTTAATGTTACACCAATTACGCTTAATTGATTACATCACAATCTGCCACAACAAAAACAACAAAAACAACACAACTACAATATTATTGAGATAACAAAGACATACTTTATTGATTGATTGATTACGATTAATTAAACTTAAATAGTACAAAAACAGATGCATACCACAGATACGAGAATAGACTTAAAACTAGAACGACTATACATGTGGAATATCTACTACAATATGAAGCATGATGATGAATTAAAATAGAAGTGCCCTTCCTTAATACACCAAACATCCCATGGAGTCACAGCTTAAATCAGGACATACAGTTGCAATCAATAAATACATAAAACATATTTTTTTAAACTACACTGGAATGCAGTAGGATGGCAAGTTAAGTTTATTGTGTCTGCATAGCAGAGAGAAATACACTATTGCGCTAATAGTAAGAAAATAAAAGTGTTTGTGGTCTAATTAGCACAAAGACGGTAGGCAGAGGGCAAATAGCTGAGGAATATAAAAATATTAACAATTATACTATGAATAATAGTAATAACAATATGATTTATGTTGTGTTAATTAGACAATTAATTATATGTACAGTAGGCTACAATAGTAATTTAGGTCATGACCATGACTGACTCAGTGTCTATTGTGTGGAGATTTTGATAGGGTTAGCTCAATTCAACAGTGCAGTTCCCCAAACTGATAGAGAGATGGATCAGGGACCCCCGACTATATATATTGTATAAAATTGTGTTTTATATTAAACTGGGCCTAGTGCCATGTATAAACATACAGTACCTCTTTATTGTGCATTCAATACTAAGCTATTAAAATAATACACAGGTTCATATATTCATGTTTTTATTTTAAACATGTGGAAGGTACAGCGAGTAGGGTGGCCTTGTTAGCTGATACCAATGCCAATATCAACATTGTCTGTCAATTGCATGATAATCATGCATACAAGCTATTCACATTGATGTTTTTATTTTAAACATAAATGTGGAAACGAAAATGAGTGATGGCCTATTAGTGCCACTGCCATGCATAAACATACCTGTCATCTTTCATACAATAATGAACTATTAAAATAATGGACACATTCATGTTTGGAAAAAAAAAATTAAACATTTTTATTTTATTTTTAATTGTCTAAAACCCAAAACTTTCGCGGATCCCCTGCAGTACCTCCGCGGACCCCCTAGGGGTCGTCGACCCCCTGTTGAAGACCTCTGGCCTAATTGACAAAAAGTAGAAAAACGAGATGAATTTAATTGAAAAGCAACACACATTGGAAATCCTTGCAATTTATTCACGTTTTATTTATTTGATAATATTTTTTTTATTCCTTGCTTGTAAAATCGGGTACTTCCGGGGTTTGGCGGTACGTCCCAATCCTCATCAGCGGTTGATTAAAGGCGGTGGGGGCAGGGATCAAACGCGCCGCATCTCCCAGTCTGTGTGTGAGTGTGTGTCTGCATTGAGGCAGCCCGCACAGAGCTGAGAGGAAACTAGCTTAGCTGAGACCCGACAAGAACAAAAGCAGCAGAAATGGCCGGTGGGAGCTCTCTGGAAGCTGTGAAGAAGAAAATCAAGTCGCTGCAGGACCAGGCCGATGCGGCGGAGGACCGGGCAGCGTTATTACAGCGGGAGTTGAACCAGGAGAGGAGTGCGAGGGAATCGGTAAGCCGCCCCTAATTATTTAAGGCAATTAGTCTCCAGGCTGCACACGGCATTAGGCGTAAATCTGGTCAAAAAAGCGTGGCTGCTAGGCCCAGACAGCGACGGTTTAAGCTCGAATGCAGTCAGGTATCAGGTGGACATGCTTGAAATTAGCCCACGGTAGGATGTGAGCAAACGACGGGTGGATGAAGGGACACCACCCCTACACGCCCCGGACACAAACAGCCCTGTAACGAGCCGGCTAACGTTGCAGCAGCAGCAGCAGCAGCACTGGTCCTCCGAGATAAAATACTGTCCATTGTGAAACTCCTGCAGGATAGCTAGTTGGAGCACAGGGGAGCTGCTTTTCCCCCTTTTCAAAAATATTGAATTGTAGCCATGTTTTGTTGCTATTTATGGGACACAAAGAACCAAATCACAGTGAGCCAGGAAATTGCAGACTTCACAGGAAATAGGGAAGGAAGGGTGCCTAAATTAGTCTAGAATTGTCTGTAAAGGTACTGTTAATGTGTGGTAGGTTTGAAATTTATATTAAAAGAAGAGAAATGACATCCACCCCTCTGCCTGCGAATATAATGTGCACATTAGATCCTGCAGCCTTCCCTTGGGCTCTTGAGTCCTGACCCAGCCCAAGCTTTCCTGGGAGAGCATGGGATATGGTTTGGATGTTGTAAGCCTGCAAAAACACCTGAAACATGCATGATGTTAGGCCATGCACATGCACTTGATCTGACTGTTTTTGTGGTGTTGTGCTCTCCTAGGCTGAGAGTGATGTCGCTTCCCTGAACAGACGTATTCAGCTGGTTGAGGAGGAGTTGGACCGTGCTCAGGAGCGTCTCGCCACAGCACTGACCAAGCTGGAGGAGGCTGAGAAGGCTGCTGATGAGAGCGAGAGGTGGGTACCTTGCACCTGCAAATCAGACTCAAATTGGTCAACACAATCCACTCATAAGACCCTCGCTTAGTCCTTGGTACTATACAGGAAATGCACAGCTGTACTCATATTTTGTAAGGTTTATAGTTCCTGTATCACCTAATGTAATATTTGTTTTGGTGCAATATACTCTTTATGAAAAAATACATTTAGATTTTGACTGAATCGCTTCAATGGACAAAGTATCAGGTCTGGGGCTGTTGACATTTTTTTTTAGGATGCACAGTGGTCATGCTTGGGTGGACTGTCTTTCAAGACAAATGGGAAAACAAGTTTTAGTACTTTAGCACTGAGATGTTGCTGTTAAACCTCAGTATACTAAAAATCATAGATTGCACCTGACTCATGCTGTTTGAGTACCATGCCAAACATTTCGCTCAGTGCTGCCACTGGTGGCTGGAAGTCACATTGCACTGATGTAAAGTGTGAACTAACTTAAAACACAGGGATAGAAAAGTAGTATGTTTAGATGATTCTTTGCAAAATAGCAAAATGAATCGTCGTTGTTGCCTTTACAAATGTCTTTTATATTGATGCAAAATAACTCCAGAGCAATAGTGGAAGCGGCCTTTAGCATTCTGATGCTGGTATCGACAGCATGGATAATGAAGTCGCACTCCTCACCATAGGTGTGTGTGTCATGCTCTCAATCAATCCAACTGTATTTATATAGCACCTTTCATGCAGGTAAGTGCAGTTCAAAGTGTGCCACAGATATCTGATGAGCTGAAAAAAAAAGACGGAACAAGTGTGGATGGTGAAAAAAAGATTCTGTATTTGAGACCAATATACGAGACAATATAAATGATAAAAAAAGTCATAAAATAGAATTACAAGCTATAATAACAGTAGTGGTGGATAAAAAAATAAATGAATAAAATGGAATAAATGAATACCACTTAAATACATTGAAAATAATTGATAAATAAAATAACTACAAAAGAATAAAATGTTAAAATATAATATAAGTTTATGAAATAATGTAAATAAAGTATCCAGACGTTTTTGTAGTAATACGATGTGTGTGTGTATGTGAACGTCTGTGTAGTCCTTCACCAAGACGAGACATCAGTAGGAACCATTTGCTTTAACTTCCTGGGTTCTTTTAAGATAAAATACCCATCTCTTTGTCGGTCGTTCCTGAGGGAATTAGCAAATCATATTGGCCTTTTGTTAAGCCTGTGGTGCCCAGAACTTACTCGCCACACTGTTTTCTTTCATTCAGAGGCATGAAGGTCATTGAGAACAGGGCAATGAAGGACGAGGAGAAGATGGAGCTGCAGGAGATCCAGCTGAAGGAGGCCAAACACATTGCAGAGGAGGCCGACCGCAAATACGAGGAGGCATGTTTTCTCAGCTGTTCACTGCATTTTTGCAATAAATGTAAATCTGTCTTGATCTCAACTCTGTACGCTGTGCCTTCAGGTGGCACGTAAGCTGGTGATCATTGAGAGTGACTTGGAACGTACAGAGGAGCGCGCTGAGCTGTCTGAGAGGTAACCACTTCCTTCCCTTCCCCCTCCCTCTATTCCTTCAAGTTGACACTTTAAATAACGTTTCAGACAAATTCAATTTAGGATTTTTCTTTTTTGTTTTGTTTGTGGCATCATCCTACTTGTTCAACCGAACCATGAACCAATAGCAAATGCTCTGAGCTAGAGGAGGAGCTGAAAACGGTGCAGAACAACCTGAAGTCTCGGGAGGCCCAGGCAGAGAAGGTAGGATGGCTGACCCAAGACGCAGCATTGCAAATAACCCAGCATCAACCCGGAAATGTGTTTAACATCATCTCGTATATATTTGCCTGACTCTGGCCTTTTTGTGTGCAACCACAGTACTCTCAGAAGGAGGACAAGTACGAGGAGGAGATCAAGATTCTTACAGACAAGTTGAAGGAGGCAAGTTAATTTAATTTAGCATAATTCACTCTCGAGAAAATAGTCAATCCATCCTGCGTCTGTATTTTTTTTTCATAGGTGTTTTTGGAAAGCTTCTTTCAAACTGTGGTGATTTGAATGTTGAATCAATAGTTACTTAAATGGAGTATGCTGACTATGTATATATATTTTGAAGTGCTCTTAATGTGACCTGCTAATGTTTGACTGTATTCCTCTCCTCAGGCTGAGACCCGTGCCGAGTTCGCTGAGAGATCAGTCGCCAAGCTTGAGAAGACTATTGATGACCTGGAGGGTATGAGTCTTTTCAACTTCATTTTTAGACATTTGGACAAGTTATTTATTTTTTAACAAAATGTAGGGGTGCCTGTGACGGTACAATTGTGATGAACAAGCCAGCCCAAAAATAGTAACCTTCTTATGTCTTAATTAGGTTTCCCTGTTGAGTGAGCTTTCTTCTAATATAAAATAAACTCTGTTTTTTTTTTTTTTTGGTAATTTCTCAAAGGGATACTCTCAGAAGCGGTGCCTCTTTTGTAAAGGTTGGTGCAGTGTGAGGTTATTTATCTGGGCAGTTAAATAGGTCTTGGCACAAATAGCTGCACTGTCGGGTTGTCTGTCATGGAGGGAAGCAACAAAGCGGCGCCCCACAGAGGCCTGCCTGATATTATTCATGTGGACAACAGCATTTCTCACCACAATGCCATTTGGCATTCTGGCGTAGTGACGGATGAAGGCCAGCGGGTCCCAAGCACTCCTCCTCAGGGTCATTGAGCACGTGATGCCGTTTCTCAGTGACTCCTCAGGAATCTGACACATCAGCAGCTGTTCCATGTGCACTTCCTATTTCTGTCCTGCCTTTTCTTTTGTTCCGGTTTCTCTATTTGCGTTGTCCTTTTTGACTTCTGTTCTCTGACTCTATTATTTGTTTCTTTTGTCTTCTGATTTTATTGCAAATCCTTCAAAAAAATACTATAAAAATACGACACAATAGATGAGCTGTATGCCCAGAAGCTGAAGTACAAGGCCATCAGCGAGGAGCTGGACCACGCCCTCAACGACATGACTTCCATGTAATTCACCACACTGCTTGTTTCTGCTTTGTGCCTTGGATCTGGACACCACTAACCACGGTTACCAGATACAATAGCTCCCTCTTGTGGCATGTTTGAGTGCAGTGGTTGTTGTTCAGCTCTATTGTAGATGGCTGGATTTCACTGCTTGCCTAACCCTGATGTGTGCGTGACCTAAAGGTGTTTTTGACTAGATTCTTAGGCTAGATTTCCCAAACCTTTAGGTTAGCTTCTACTGCATTTAGTAGTGGTGCTAGTCTCTCCATAGCTTAGCCACATTTCCTCATAAGCTTCATTTGCTTTCTGCATGTCATTTATCTTCCATACCTCCCTTTTTAATTTTTTTTTTATACCTCCAACACTTTTGTTCTTTGTTTCTTCTTTCACAGCTAAACTTTTGCACCCCTCACTCAAGAAGCTGGTTGAATGTCGTCATCTCTCTCCTGTGCAGCACAGCCCAACTTCCTGTCTCTGTTTCCTTACTGCCCCGCTACTCCTGGGCACATTGGGCTGTCGCTGCTGCCATCCATTTGTTCATCTTTCACACAGACCTTTGAGCCGAGTTGCTTTCTGTAAAATAAACATTCTTCCAGCTACGTCAGCCCTTTCCCTTTTTATCTTGCGCTGTTTCTTCATTTCTATTTGTCCCATGTTCTTCTTTTTTTCTTAATTTCTGTCTTTTACTTTGTTCTGTTGAGTAGCTTTTGAATAAACTCTGAAGCTCCTCTCACATTTACTGTTCCCTTTTCTGTTTGAGAGGATTCTTTGTTATAATGCAGTTGGGGTGTTGATTCATTCTCCTTACCTGTGAAATACTAGTGTTCACATGAAATACGGCTGTTTCAGTTGTGACCGGTTACCTGCTTTGATAAGCGGTTTAGTTGGCCCTTTGTACGGCAGCTTCCTTGCAAGTTTGGAGTAAAAAGTGTTTCCAAAGCCTGGTATCTTTAGCACACTTTAGTGGCCAAAAGGATCAACTGCACCACCAGGGATTTAACATATTAGGTACTGACTTAAAGCTCTTAATGATCTTTAGTGTCTGCATTCTCCTTTTTTTTAAGGAATGGATTTCTAACGTGAGATAAGTATACCTCTTAGAAATAGTTTTGTCCAGTACTATTGGCTTAGCCTCGGTCCCTGCACCAACAATCATTGACTCTGAATGTGGATTACGCTTTTGGTCTTTATACGTAGGCTTCTTCCAGGCTATCCTCAACATCACTGTGTTAAAAACCAAACTTCTCAGTAAAGGCTACAGCGACTACAAAAGGAGGAATGAGTGGGAGATGTTGCCATGGGAAGCCAGGACAGATAGTTAGTAACTGCTTGTGAGACCGTACGGAACTGTGAATATCAAATAGAGTAAGCTATTACTTTAGTCTGTGTTCCTGAAGTGGGCAGTCCAGGTTCAGTAATTAGTCGTATGGAACTTTGCTTCATAAGATCACGAGGTCGGCAGTTCAACAGCTTGAATACAAACTGACACTTGTTCTGTGTTTAGCTTCTGTACTAACCTGCCTTCTCTTTCCCTTTTCTCTAACCTGCTTTCTGATTGTCCAGACCATCTATACAAGCAGCTTGAGAAAAACCGCGTCCTGACCAATGAACTGAGAGTAGCCCTAAACGAGGCGTAAACTCCAATGGGCTCTCGTACGCTTTCATTCTTCTGAATCTCAACCGTCCAGGCACATTGTCTAATGCTGTGATATATAAAAAGGGTATTAGACACCTGTGTCTCTGACACATGGCTTCAACCAAGTAATGCGTTCAACAAACGGGAGATTTTTCACATTCTGCATGCTAAAACTGTGGCTACAGGTGGGAGGGCGGACAAACTTTATGACAAGTTGTAGGATGGATTTTATGTTTACTACTCGGTTATTGACAGGGCTGTAGCGCTTCAGTTGAACTCTGCACGGTGCTGTTGCTCATGAGGTGAAGGTCAGTGAAGATGCTCGTGGCCGACATCTGAGGGGGGAGGCGCATAAAATGCCGCAAGGGGTCCAGAATTCCTTGTACATCCCCCGCTAAACTGAAAGGACATGTTTTTCTGAATTCACTTAAGTCTAAATAGTAACACAGCAGGAGGGAGTATGCTTTGGTTTAATGCAGGAAGGATGCAGTGCTGACCACTGTACATGTACAGAGAAGTCACACCCTATCTGTTAATATGAGCATACTAGCTGATAGAGATTATGTTGTAGTCATATATGGTTGGAGGGTATATGTGGAGAATGTGCCTATTAAATAAAACCAAATGGAAAAAATCATGCAATGTAATGGTACGACTTTTAGGCTTTAGAGTCAAATTGAAATGATAAAGAAAGAATAAAAGCTGTGATAATGATGATAAAGAGAGGTAAAACAATAGTTGCGGAGGGAGATAATTTGTGGCAGAAGTGGGGGAGGTTTTTCCACGGAGGATGTCTCCAATTTGGGGTTAAATTGACGCTCAAATTTTTTTGGTTGACCTGAAAGTGGTTGGAGAGGGTGCTTGGACTTGATACTGTCGGTCATGAGCATCATTTAAATCCTGGCAAAGGGACATTCTTTTGTACTAAACCTAGCTACAGCCCTGTCTATAGCTTATTCACAGTGAGTTGGCTTACAGTATTGTAGTTGAGAATATGTACGTACTTAATGAGTGCTAACTACGCTGTTTGTTATCCTGGACCATAGCTTTTTTTCTGTTTTTATATCTGTGCATCTTTGGGCTGTTTGTTTTTTTTTTTTTTTGTTTTTTTTTTATGATTTTTAACCAATGCAATGCTGTATTGACAGATAAACTCGCACATGCTGAAGAAGACAGCCTGAACGTAAAGCAGATGCTGGATCAGACTCTTATGGAGCTGGTTAACATTTGACCGAGCTCTGTTCCTCCCCCCCCACATTGCCTCTTCTACTCTGGCTATGGATGGCTGCCATATACGGCTGCTACAGATAATGTTTGGCCTTGTGTTTATAAGTGTCCTCTGAACTTCTCACCCTGAAGAACTGGGCTCTACAGAAGGTAGCACACGCTGCTTCAGTGAGCTCCAGTTCAACTACACTGTTTGCATTACACACTGTGATCAAAGGTCAGTTATAATTCATTGCATAGCTTTAAAGTTTACATGTATATTTTGGGAGAATTTGCATTTTTTTGGAACATGATCGTTGTCATCAAAGCATAAATTAAGCCACGGTTGTATAAAAGGACTTTTATTATGTGTACTTTTGTAAAGTTTTTTTCGTGTGTCTTTTGTTTCTTCTGTATTGTAAACATTCATTCAGTGTCAGTGATGTTGTGTACTTCCATTTAAGCAAGGAAGGAATTCTTAGCACAGTTGTTTGATCAGCTATGTAAAAGAAATGTTTCCACGTTGTACTCTTGTACTTTCTGTTCATGTTGAGAAAGTATTTGTTTGATTTTGTCTCTCCCATTTTATCTCGGAAAAGTAAACATGGAATAAATGGTTGGATCAAGTATACTTTATTCTAAGTCTGGCTTTATTACAAATTATATTTTAATAATTTCAGCAGGAATGAAGGGGAAACCTTTAGTTGTCATTACTGTGGATATCTTCTTAAATGATATTCTCTATACGTCACTCAATTTAAGCAATGCAGAATGGAGCACCAAACTTGTACAGTGGAAGTGCCACTTGTATTTTAAATGAGAAGCACAACATGAGGTGGTACTGTTTTAAACGAACTATATTCTGGTACGATGCTGCAGTTAATCACCAGTACAGTGAAATGTGACCGATGTCACTTAGGAATATATCATTAGGTGGCGCTTATGTGCTTGTAATGCTCTAAAATGAAACTCTACAAATGACAGTGACACCTTATATCGGACTATGGTCTCTTAAATGTTTTTCATAATGTAAAATTTCTCAAATGCAAAAGTGGTGAAGTGACAAGCCTTTAACAAGAAAACAAAGGGAAATATCGGCACAAATAAGCATATTTTGTGTAACAAATGTTCTGTCTTGTCCAGTCAAAACAATCATTATTTAAACCAACGTCCCTTAATTAAATGTAACAAACTACAGAAAATGTGGGCGGACACTTTAAACTGCCACAGCTCCTCCTCGCCGCTGGGGGGCGGTGTCTCACATCGGTGGAGGAGCAGAGGTGAAAGGTCGTAGCTGGGCAGTCTGCCGGAAAACACCGACCACGACTCGAGAGCAAAATATGGGTGAAAATGAAGAATTTGCCGCTTCTTTAGAAGACAGCAAGGCTGCATACGTACTCAGCAATGTCGCCGAAGTGGTTGAGCGGATTCTGACGTTCGTACCGACCAAATCGCTGCTCCGGATCGTAAGGTAGCGGGAAATGTCTGTATGCTCAACAGTTAACTTAGCTAACGTTCAAAGGCTGTCGAATGGAAGTGAAACTACTGTTTCCACATACACATAGGGCAGTTAGAAAGCTAATGTGGCAGCCAGGGTGTTGTAGGAGTTTTACTTTACCTAACGTTTCTGCACTTACGTGCAGCGTGTTTTTGTCACACAGGCACGAACTTAAAGGCTAACAAGTTTCTAACGTTCCCAAGCTAACGGTAGCTAGCCGCCCGGTAGTTGACATATGTCTGTGGTTCTCAGTGTGTGCAGACTGTGGAGGAACTGTGCCCGTAGAGTGCTGAGGACTCAGCAGCAGCTCACATGGGTGTCAGCCTGTGGGCCGTCCAACACGGAGGCCCACGTCCTATGCAGCATCCTGGCTGAGGAGGTGGAGGTAAGGTTTTTTGGGGGGATGTTAAAAGACCTGTAACGTTACTTTGCACATGTGCAGTTAGCACAATATTGATATGGATCATGGTGTATACAGATAGCAAATGTACAACACTCTAATGGTAGAAGTTGTTCATGCTCAGCCAGGAATGATCTCTTTTGTAGTCCTGGGGTAAAAACACATGGTCACTCGCATGTATTTAAGTAGGTGTGGAGTATTGTATGTATCCAGATTGCAATTCATAAAGGTTTTAACACTGTTTTAACATATGCCCTTTACTTGTGATTCTTTCCAGAAAGTGTTTCTCGTGCCCAAAACCGTTCTGACGTTGGTAGACTATGAGGGCTTCACTGGACGAGCGTTTTGCTACAAACAGAATAAAGGTTGGTATTAGATGTTGGTATGCTCTGCTTTATTGGGTTCATTTGACAGAATATCTCGGGTAACTGCACAAGTACTGTGTCATGCACAATTGTTTGAGTTGTGTTAGTGGAAAACAATAGTGCAAGAAGTATTTTGATTGTTTATTTAAGTAAAAGTACTCGTACTACACAGGGAAAAACTCCACTACATTCAAACCTCAATTAAGTAAAACGTATGTGTGTATTATCAACAACCGAGTCAATGTTGTACTATTTGATATGCTTTTTTAAAATTAATATTACTTCTGCGTTAATGTGTATATTGTATTTTCATCCTGTGAATGTGTCAGATTGCACTATTTGTAACTTTATAAACTGCTGGATAGTTTAATCTACAACAAAGCATCATATTCTCTAAGATCATCATAAGTTTGTAGCGTTGCCGTCCTGTGAGAGCCACGTATGTCCAAAAAGTAAATCTTTCATGAGCTCAGTCGTGTTTTCATCTTTGTGAAGATGCATATTCCAGCTCGCCCAATCCTGTTGTAGTTTATTTACCTTAAGAGGTAGGAGAATAGAGGAAGTCTTCATCTTTCAGTTAATCACCAACATTCGAAACCAACTAATTCGGAAATGCATGGTTTTCACTGGACAGGAAGTGTATGAAAAATTATAATATGAAAAGTAACTAAAGCTGTCTGACAATGTGTACTGGAGTAAAAAGTACAATATTTGTCTCTGAGATGTAGTGGAGTAGAAGTATAAAGTAGCATAAGATCGGACTGATGCAAAGGAGAAGTACCTCAAATTTGTACTTGAGTACAATAGTTGAGTAAATGTACTTAATTACATTCTAACACTGGAGAGAAGACGAAGTCCTATATGAATTATGTGAGGTAACATATTCCTGGTTTAGTTGTATCATAACAGTACAATAGTTGTGTGTTAGTAGACGTCTCATATGCCAAATAGATTTGGGATGCATGTAGAAACTTTAAGGAACGCTTAAAAAATGTTTTTCCGAATGAGGCTCAAAGAACAGAGTGTTTCATTCTGTACATATTTTAAAGCCCTTTGAGGCAAATTTGTGATACAATTATATTGGCTTAACATTAAAATCATAGATAACTAATATTCAAGAAATACAGAATTGAATAAAAAATGACAAATCCCATTGAACAGCCCAAAAACCTAAATTGTAAGAACCCCATACATTTGAAATCATACACATTTGAACATCCATTTTAATAAGTAGATATTACTGAAACACAGCGTTAGTTGGATTGTGTTCATGGGTCCCACATAATAACTTGAAGCTACTAATAGGGGCCAGACTGCTTAAAATCACAGCGGCCTCACAGACTAATCAGTAAACAATAACAATGACTTTATGTGTGCAGTAGCCATAATAACTGTTTAGTGAACCAGTTACTGATGCAGAGTTTGGTCATATTATGGTGCTGCCAGTTATCTGTTCCCTGTTGGTTAGCTTCATCTTGTGACCATTGCTCCTCTTCATCACTGCAGCTTCAGTGGCTCATGTTGTTGTTGCATTAAATAGTTGAGGAATTTTTGTTATGGCACTTATATCATAACTGTTTACTTCCTTAAAACTAGAACGATGTGCAGACGGTGTCATTCAGGGTCTCTTTATAGTCAGTTTGTTGAATTTTATTTCGTAGTTGCTATGGTTATTTGCGGTTTAATATAGGCCCAGCTTGCACACTGATTTAGGACGGCGGTTAAACTATCGACGAGAACTAGTTGACACCTTCCGGACGATCAATAACAGGAAATGAAGGCATATGAATTTGCATGCATTTTTTTCATATAGATCTCTCTGAAATTTTACATGTTAGGTATTTAGCAGTGTTGTGCAACACTTAACGATGCTCTGCTGGTGTATTATGTTTCATATTAAAATAATAAGTATATAAAACAGTGACCTTTCTCAATAATAGTTATTTTTCCCCCCCTCGACTACTCTGAAGCCAAAAAGAATCGCCACAGCCCAGACACGGTTGAAGAACTCAACCTGCTCTTCCCGAAAGGCTGTGACATCATGGGCATCACCACACCAGGCGTAGTCTGTAAGTGTTCCTCCTCTCTGTCGCTTTCATATTTCCCCAAAAATCATGGGTATTGGTACAAATATGTGTCCTAGTGTGTTCGTCTTGCTAGGCTACTCTAGAAACAATGAAGGATAACCAGGTGTCTTGGGTATATGAAAGAGGAATAGTTCACCTTTCAGCATAGAGGACTGCTATTAATCTCCACTGCTGCTGCCTAGTTGTAAAGCACCACTAGTGGCCGGCGCTTCCCTCTGATAGATTGCCTCGTCTGCGTGCTGCTGTGCTGCCCATTTTTCCATATAATCACAAGCCTGCGGAGAAGTGACTCTCCATCAGCCACGTTCTCTCTCCTCAGGATGATGGCTGATCAGGCTCCCGTAGTTAATCAGGTTTAATGGCAGCCGCAGCTGTTTGTGATGACACTCACGCAAGGTCGCCACACACATCTAATTCCACTGAATTAAATCTTTTGATTGGATTATGTTGAAATCTATAGATTACTTGTAATAAGTCTGCCATATAGCCTCCAGTACATCTTCTTATTTATGCATATCGGTGATGGGTTTGCACAGTATTATAAAGATGACTTGTGATGCATTTAGACATTGTATTTCTGCATAACTGCTTATGAATTCCATAAACTGTGACACATTGGAGGATGGGGATGAATGAGATGCTAATGTAACGAGTTTGCTCATTTTGAATACAGGGAAATGTTTTCTGTAATATACAGATTCAGCTGCACACCAGTTAGCTCAGCAAGAATGTAAAGCCTAAAATCTGAAAGGTGTACTCGTGGTGAATGTCTTCTAATCTTGTAAATGAATGACAACACAGCACAATGTTTTCTCATTTGTACGGTAGCTCATTCGTCGGCTAAACTCTGTTTAGAAGTGCCTTTAAAGCCATTGATTGATGGTAGTGTAATCATGCCTGGTGTGTTGGTGTCTCTTATGTACAGTATGTGCTGGTCTGTCAGAGGCTGTAGTTTGTTCTTCAGTCAGCAATGACGAGGGTCTACTAGCGACCCCACTACTGGTTAGCATTGATAACTTAACGTTCGACCTCGTGCCTGCTACTCTGTGCAGTGACTCCCAGTGGCTCCTACTCCAGCCTTCCTCGGGAGTACCAGGAGGGGGAGGCTGGCTTTGCCATCATGTTCCCAAGCATAGAAGGTGTCCACATCAAGCCCTTTCATTTTTGCAAGAAGTCCATTTCCCCAACAGCTCTGAAAGAAGCAGGTGAGTGTTGTCTGACAGCAGTAATTCAACAATCTAAACAGAGCAATGCAAAACTTGGAAAATCTTCCAGACCTTGTTTTTCTATTAGTCTTTTTTTCTTTTTGTACTTTCTTTCCAGGACTAGTTGACAACCCCGAGCTGCGTGTGGTACTGATATTTGTCTACGAGGCATATAAAACCGGAGGAGTGCACTTCCTCAGCCAGATACTGGAGCCTCTGGCCAAGAGCAAAGCGCTCATTGCTGGAGGGCTGGTAGAAAGTGTCTTCTCTCCTCACAGACACTGGTGAGTGAATGTCCTTTTTTAATATTAAATATTACATTTTTTTTTTACTGCATTTTCACTCTCCCATCATCTCTCACTCCGTAGCTGTAGCCAGGGGTCATATGGTGTGGTGGGCCTGGCCTTGAGTGGCCCTAAGGTGCAGGGGGCATCTGTGCTCTTGGACCAAGAAGTCAGCAACCCAAAGGCGGCCGAAGCCACGATCCAGCGGCTAAAAGCAGCCAAAATTCCCGAGAGGAACACCCTAGGGTTCATGTTCGCCTGCGTGGGGAGAGGCCAGAACTACTACCACAACCAGGCCAACGTAGAGGCCGACGCCTTTCACAAGGTGTTCCCCAACACCCCGCTCTTCGGCCTGTTTGGCAACGGCGAGATTGGCTGCGACCGAATCGTTAAAGACGACTACACGCTGTGCGACACTGACACGGACAGTCTGCAGCACGAGTACACTACAGTCATGACCCTGGTGCATTTAGGCTGACGGACTGACCCGCAGTCACAATGACCAACCGGTAGTAAAATAAAACAGCAAGTCGGGAACAAGAAACATTTTGTACAGTGTCGCTCACATTAAGTCTCAGAATATTGCTGTCACCAGTTCTGCTCATAAAGCAGGACGATGATGTCATGGCATCATTTGGGAAATTGTGTCCCTCTGAGACTGTGTGTGTGTAAACACGGCTTCCTATTAAAACTAGTGAGTTTCACAAAGTTTTAATATTCATAGTATTCAAATCTGATAGAGCACTCTTGTAAAATATGTGTATATAGTTTTCCTAAATTCTGCCCATATTCCCGGCACATCTTACCCACTGACATTCACCTCATGGTCTGTTTGTTGTGCAGGTAAGTTCAAATATACACTCGTGTGTCCCTCAAGCTATTGTTGTAGTTGGTGATTCAGCGCAGGCACTTTTATTCATGTAAGTATGAGTGTGGTCCCTCTTCCACACAATCAAGGCTATCTTGATCTAAATGCTATCCCCTGTTACGTAGGTTTTATACTTATGGTTTTTACAAAAAAATAAACGCGTTAACCTACAACTTGATACTCTTTTGCAAGATATCTATAGGTCATAGTTCAATTGGGCACAGAGGCATCAGTCAGATTCTTACAGTGCCTCTTTTATTGTCCACGTCAGGTCATATCTCCTACTACCTACTACCAACTGTTAATGGTTGGGCTTCATGGTTATGGCATCTCCTGCAGCTTAAATGAATAAAGTTCCCCTAAAACAGAAGAGTAGCCCTGTGACACTGACCAGCAGAAACTCTCAATTTCACCTCAAATACATCTCAGTTCTTCTGCAACTTCTAACTTTAGGAAATAGTTGTCAAGGTATACTTTCCAAGGTTAGAATAAAAAGTGAGAAATTGGCGTAGATGATGATGTATTTGGTATCCTTTCTAAATTTTTCTAAAAACGGTTATTTTTGAAATCCTGATGGTACAGCTTGAGACTCTAAATGAGGTCCACATATTGCACATGCCTTCTTTATACAATAGAATATTGGTAAACATCCATTATCTCTTTATCAATGTGTTATTTTCTAGATGGCCCTGTCATTGATTGTTGCCATACTGTTATATATATATATATATATATATATA